AAACTTTTAACCTAGAAAAATCCACAAAATATCCTTCATAGCCTCCAAACTACTTAGATATCCCCCTAGCAACATTTTAACACTTAAACGACACACGTATTACTACATTTTAACACAAAAATTAAGAAAAAAATTTTTTTGAAAAATCCGGAAAAAAACCGGAGTCCGGTCCGGAATCCGGATAATTTCTGCCGGACTCCGGAAATTATTTTTACCGGATTAAAACCAGACCGGATTTATCCGGAAAAATCCGGCCGGATCCGGACCGGCTCAAGTTGCAAATCCGGAATCCGGATCCGGGTCCGGCAAAATCGATTTTGCCGGGCACTAATCGTAAGCTATAAAAATTGTCATAGAGAAAGAGGAATAAAGAAAAAGGAACTTTCAATAATTTAATTTGTTTAAAAACTGTTAATTGAAAATAAATCTAAAATTTAGACTGTGGAAGGTTCAAATAAAGCAAATTGGTATTGGCAAACTCCGGAAGGTGAATGGATTTATGCCACTCTTGTTGATTGTTACCCAATTGAAGGACTAAATTAATGAGATTAAAAAGAAAAGTGAATGTGGGAATTTCTCGACCAATCTCTATTAATTACACCAAATCCACTCAATCCTCACAATCAAAACAACTCTATTAATCCTAAAATTCCTCGAAATCTTTTAATTCTTCCTAATATCTTTCCATTATTTCTAGTGGAGAATTAAATAATTAATAAATTTTAATATTTGTATGCTATGTAATTTATATAACCTAATATTCAACTATATTCACTCTGATTTGAAATAATTTTAATTTTTCTATACAGGGTGCGGCAAATTAAGCGCGCGTTTGTTTTTTGCCATAACTTTCTTCAATTTTAATGAAAATTGATAATTCTTTTTTTGTTTTATTCCCAACACTTTAGGAAACTTGCTGATATCAAATATTAAAAATTTGGTTCACTGTTGGCAAAGATAATCGAGTTCGATCGTCTGGAAAATTTAAAAACATTTTTTATGCCAAAGTTTAATTAATCATAACTTCGTTCAAAATCGTTCAATACCAATGATTTTGGTACTAAACGACTCATCTCGTTCAGGAGCATCGAAATAGCTTATAATCTCATTTTTGAAAATTTTACACAAAAATTTTATTTTTATCAAAATTATTTTAATTTATCATTCAGAGGACCGTATCTCATTCGATTTTTGTCTTAGCCCCATGATTTTTATGTCATTCGAATCAGAATGAAGAGCTGATTCGAATGATATAAACATTTCCAATATTAAAATCTCAGCCTTGAATCTAGGCCAATTTTTATCAAAAAATTCTGCTCAAACTTTGAGGGAAGTTTACTCAGAGTAAACTTAAAATTAAAAAGCAATTTTGGTATCAGCAAGTTTCCTAAAGTGTTGGGAATAAAACAAAAAAAGAATTATCAATTTTCATTAAAATTGAAGAAAGTTATGGCAAAAAACAAACGCGCGCTTAATTTGCCGCACCCTGTATATAAACGAGAATAAACCATAATGGGCTAGAAAAAAATTGTTCCACAACTAAAAATTTCAAATTTCAATTTTACTTTTGAAACACTTTTGGAATATTTAAATGAAACTTTATTTAAAAACTTGTGTAATCGTTTCTAAAATTTACTCAATTAATTCCTTATCAAAAAATATTGCTTTCAGAAACACGTCGTTAGTTGACACATGTATTTTCACAATATAGGGGCATGTTCTAAATTGCAGAGATAAGTACTACTTATCGCCACAGATATCTAAGCTATCTATAAGATATCTACGCCATAGTATCTTTTCCGATTTTCGATTTATTTTTCGAGGTTATTTTTATTTCTATTCAGAAAATTTCTAAAATTATTTTCGATTTCGATATTCGATTTCGATATTTCGATTTTCAAAGATTATTATTTTCGAAACAGCTCTATTTAATGCCCGCCCATTAATACTAAAACATTATCTAAACATTTTGGCACGCGCCTCCTTACTTTTTTGACCACACCCCCTTTTTTTCTTCTAACCTCATACTTTTCCTTTAATTGCACACATGTGTCATACTTCTATGGTACCCACTAGAGCCCGGACGGAGGGGTCGGTCGATATTTTTTCGATAAATATCGAAAAATACCGAATATCGAAAAATATCGAAAAACCCAAAATTTTCTCGGTCGATATTTTTTCGATAAATATCGAAAAATATCGAAACCGAAAAATATCGAAAAAAAAGTCTCGATATTTTTCGATTTTTCCAAAAAAATTTTAAAAAATTTTAAATGGTAAAATAAATGTTAAAATTTTAGATTAAGATTGATTATATGAGATACTGATATTAGGGGATTTGTATTTGGATGGATTGAGAGGATATGAGAGGATATCAGTAGATATACATATCAGTAGATATTTATAGAGTGGATTTTAATTGGATATTGGAGGATTATGATGTATAACATATCGAGAGATTTGAGGGAATAAGAAGGATATTGTGGAGTTGGGGGTAGGAGGGATATCATTGGATTTTGGTGGATTAAGATGGATAAAGTGGATATCTTGGAATTTGGAGATATTCTACAAATCAGGTTCAACATTTACGGTCAGGTGGCTGTTTTCACGGTGACGGTGGTTGCGGTGGTTTTTGCCAACGAGATGGGAACAGTGACCCAAATCCCTGAATATCTCATATCCCAAATCTTTGAAAATTACTTCAAATCACTCTCACCCATCGAAATCCCCCGTAATTGAGTTGGCAATATTCTTTCATTTACAGTGTCATAAACAAAAATTATTTGAATTATTTATCCAAAAAACAATAAGCCGAAATCTCCTTTTTCTGCGCCGCGGCCGAAAACTTTGAGAATTTTGGAAGACCAGGCTACATGATTTCTTCGATTTTCAGCGCCGCAGGCGAAAATTTTAAGAATTTTGGAAGACCAAGAATCTAGATTTCTTCCATTTTTGTCCTTTTTGGCGCCAAAAATTAAAATTTTTAACAAAAATTAGAGCCCGGACGGAGGGGTCGGTCGATATTTTTCGATAGATATCGAAAAATATCGAATATCGAAAAATATCGAAAAAGTCAAAATTTTCTCGGTCGATATTTTTTCGATAAATATCGAAAAATATCGAAACCGAAAAATATCGAAAAAAAGTCTCGATATTTTTCGATTTTTCAAAAAATTTTTATAACCAAAGAATAACAGAATAGACCAAGTAGTTTAAGGAGGTTAAGATTGATTAAATGGGATATTGGTGGATTGGATGGATTAAATTGAATATCAAGGGCTTGTATTTGATATTGAAGGATCAAGTGAGATATAAGCGGATTCTAGCGAGGGATAATGGATTTTAAGGAATTAAGGGGAATATTGGACGACTGAGTGTGTAACAAGAGATTTAGACGTAGTAAGACGGGTATTGTGGATTTGTGAGATCAGGAGGGATATCAAGGGATTTCTGGATTAAGGGGGATATAGGGGGATAAAAAATCTTGCATTTGGTATCCGTTTTGATATCCATCTCTCCCAAATATCCGTCTTGATCCCTCGAGATCCATTTTATCCACTTAATCATCTATTAGTTATACAAATAGTTGATTACCCCGGATATCCACTATATCCGTCATGATCCTTTGTTATCTCAAATATCCCAACAAACCTTCGGATGTCTCATAAAATTACTCTTAATCCATTGAGATCTCCCTTAATCTACCGAAATTTTCTTAATTCATATCAGTGTTTTTAGGGATATCGAGGGAATATGATGGATTAAGGGGAAAGAATGGATATTCTAACAATCTTATGAGAATCTTGGAAGGTCAAGTTGCAAAATCTTCCATTTTCAGCGCCGCAGGCGAAAATTTTTTGAATTCATGATGGTCAGGAGGCCAAAATTCATCCTTTTTGGCGCCAAAAATTCAAATTTTAGTCAAAAATGACGTTCGATATTTTTTTCGATAATTTTTATTTGGTCGGTCGATATTGTCGATATTTATATTTTTCGATCGATATTTTTCGATAAATATCGAAAAATATCGAATATCGAAAAATATCGAAAAACTCAAAATTTTCTCGGTCGATATTTTTCGATAAATATCGAAACAAAATATCGAAAAATATCGAAAAATATCGAAAAAATATCGTATCGAGCCGGGCTCTAACAAAAATGACGTTCGATATTTTTTTCGATATTTTATCATTTGGTCGGTCGATTGTTTCTATATTTAAATTTTTTCGGTCGGTATTTTTTCGATAAATATCGAAAAATACCGAATATCGAAAAATATCGAAAAAGACAAAATTTTCTCGGTCGATATTTTTTCGATAATATCGAAAAATATATATCGAAAAATACCGAAAAATATCGAAAAAATATCGTATCGGTCCGGGCTCTAGTACCCACAACCACGGTGTCCGGAAATTTGGGCTCTGGAAAATTGGGCTCCAAGATTTTTCGGAAATTTGGGCTCCAACTTTTTGGAAAATTGGGCTCTAGCGGAATTTTGGGCTCTAAGTGAGAAAAACGGAAAATTGGGCTCCAATTTTTTAGGCGCGGGGAATTGTGGGCGTCGGAGTGAATTTTTGGATTTATTCGAGAAATATCACAAAATTCTCTGGAGTGCTGATACTTAGTGGGTAGGTCGGCAGTTCAAAGCTGAAAATCAGTAGAAAGTGATAGGTTTATGTTACTGATGTAGAACGCAGCGACGGTTGACTCCCGCAAGGCGCGTGCCGCAAAACCCCGCGCGAAGCGTGTGGCCTTGCCGACGCCCATAGGTTTACTTTGTCTAAATTAAAAAATTTAAAAACAATTTTTGTATCAGAAATTTTTTTAGATTATCAATCTTCATTGACATCTAAAAAGCTTATCACAAAAAGTTAATGGGCGGAAAATTGTTTAATAATAATTTAATAAAGTATTATGTACTTAAATCTTTAAAAATTGTTTATTTTAATAGTTAAAAAATATAAAAATAAAACGAGTAAATCAAAAAACAAATTAACATTTCAATAAAATTCTTTAAGAATTAAATGTTTTGTAATATCATAATTAAATGGCTTAGTTTCCAAATTGTTTCCGTAATTAGCTTCAATTGAACAACGTCTCAGTGCAACAAATGGTTTGCATGAATCGAAATTGTCCTTTAATAATATACCCTTACCTTTAAAAAACAATTTTTTAAAGATAATATTTTAAATATTTACCAATTTGTTTTCCATTTTGAGTAAAGAAGACATAAGGAAATTCATTCGACATATTAGTTGGGGGATAAACTAATCCACACCCAAAGATGTCGTTATCATTCCAAGAAATATCTTTGATTTCAAAATCTTCATAATTCTCTACATAAACTGTAGCAATCTCAGCAGTAAATCTAATTCTTTTATTTGTATTACAATTTTCAAGACCAATATGCATCCATTTTCCATAAGTATCTAACTCGTCCTCAAATATACATTTAATTTCAAAATAATATAAAGAATAATTAAAATAATTTCGTGGATTTTTGAATGGATTTTTTGCACAAACACGAACAAAATTATCATAACCTAAAAATATTTTTTAAAAAATTCCAAAAATTCTAAATAATTACCGTCATTCTTCATCAAATATTTAATATTTTCATCATTAATTATATTAACAAATCCATTTCCTTTAATACAACTACCAATTGGGTTGTTTGTATTTATACAATTACTGTAACAACAAGCGTAATCAATTTCTTTCCATTTATTTTTATTCTTAATATATACCATACAATTCATTAAACAAACCACACAATTCAAATTATTTAATTTAAATAAATCCCCAATTTTTTTGTCGGTCAAATCATTTGCCTTATTAAATAAAATTTTAATTAATTTAAAAAATATTTTTTTTATTTTATAGTTATTTTAAATACTTAAATTAAATCATTTTCTTAAATTATTTTAAATTTAAGTTTAATTGCAGAAAATATACAGTCCATTACATAATTATGTATAACTACATTTTAGCCGTGCAATATTTTAAAGATTTGATATTTTGTATATTTAGGAACCATCGAGTCAACCAAACCCAAGAATTATGACAAGATAAAATAGGAGAAGATAACAGGAAAGTATTATGTAATTTAAATAATTTTTCAACTAAAAATCAATTCTGGGTATTTGCAATTTTGCAGCTCCAAGTTTTTAAAATCTTGACTTTGTTAGTAACAAATTAATTACCTTTTTAATTTCAAGTTCCAAAGAATTAATTTTTTCATCTTTTCGAACATTTTCATCTTTTAATTGTTTAATATTTTCATCATTTATTTTTTGAATTTTCTAAAATTATTTTTAAGAAATATTCAAAAAATATCCCAACTTTTAATTCGTTTTCTAAATAAGAAGTCTTTTCCTTCTCTTCAATAAATTTTATTTGAAGATTATTAAAATTAGTTTGAAGTTTAATTAAATCATTGCTTTGATTATGTAACTTTAAAAATAATATTTGTAATTTTTAAAATTATATTTTTTTAAATTTACGTTTAATTCCAAATTAAAATTTGATGACCCTTCTTCAGACATTTTGTAGAACAATTTTAAGAAGAAAATATTTAAAAGAAAAACAGAATTAAAATAAAATAACAAAACTGGTAAGATAAATTTAATGTTAAACCGAATTCTTAATATACCGTATATCTCAAAAATTATCGTGGGTAATTCTTGTTTCAACCTCTCATGGTTGTGGTAATTAATAGTTAGGGGGCAATATATGAGATGTCTTAGAAATCCTAATTACCGTAAATGCTCTAATAGAACCACATGGGCTTCTATTTTTCTGCTAATATTGGGTCTGCTAATATTGGGGAGTGTGCTTCAAATAGGGAGTGTGGTTCTATAAGAGCATTTACGGTATATATATTTTAAAAAAGGGGGTAATTATTTTCCACTCTCATTGAAATACCTAGTTATAAAATTGTATAAATTGATAGGGCCGGATACGACAATTCCCGGCTCAGTTCAATCCAGTCACCTATAACTTATGAATAAGAGGATACTTTCTAATGTTCTGGGTATCCTTGGATATATATTTAAGAGATAGATCGATAAAGTTCCGAAAAATCAATTTTTTTGAAACGTTTTTTAAAGCATAACTTTTTTGTCAATCAGTTATGAGCTTTGTTTTGAAATCTTGGAATGTATTTAATTATCTATCCAATGACCTTAGCATAAATTAAATGTTACGGTGAGTTTAAAAAGATAACTGAATAAAAAATCATATACCTATATTGAAATATACCTATAAAAATATACCTATAAAAATCATATACCTATATATTGAAAGGTTTTTTGCCCAAAGAGAGACGGTTTTGTTTAAGGAACTTAAAAATTATTTATTTCTATGAGAATAATTGTTGAGGGAATATTTTAAAAAATAAAAGAAGATGTTTTGAGGAAATGAGAAGAAAAACAAGGTCATCCAAAATACGGTTCAAACAGAACCTTTTTTTCTACTGTTCGGCACCTTTTATTGTAGGCCAGGAATAAATTAAACTTTCATATACCTAATTCAATTCCAAAATTAACCGTGCTAATCATAAAAACAAGAAAACTTCTAATTTATTTTTATGTCAGTTACCCTCTCTCAATTTACTTATTTATACACTAAGGTGATTATTATGGATACCAAGATTCAACGAATTGTTCTCGATAAAATCTCACTTTAAGTTACATACATCTTTGTGGCTAATAATTTATTTCTAATAAATGTGCATCTTAAATAAGCTTTTCATTTAGTAAGATCCTAACAGCAATGCCAAAAAATCAAGAAAACTTATTTAATTAGGTCTCGATCTAGCCATCTTATAGTGAGGTAATGTTTATTACAGTCATCTTTTTTTCTTTAAAAGAATCAATTGTACAGAATTTTTCTTTACTATACTTTAGTTTTATACTATAACTATGTAGAGATAGGACCGAAACGAGATCTTGAATAAAAATCGTTATAGAAATTTTTCATGATGACAAGTCTTGTTTCTACTTTGTACCTTTAAAATAAATAGTCATACATATTGTTGATTTTTTTAAAGATAACCTTATTAAATAAATTATTTTTAATTGCTTTGATTTGTGCTAGAGTTAAAAGACAAAATCCTAAAATCCAAAATAAAAGTTAAATAGCAAGGTTAAATAAATTGTGTTTGATAATTTTAAAAGACCAAGAAAACTTATTTAATTGAGATTTTTGATGTCTCTAGAATTATTTTTGGAAACAAAATCTCATAAAAGATTTCCTTTGTTTACTGAAAAAACGTTCTAATGGAAGAAAAATATGATTTCGAAGAATTTCTTTAAAAAATTTTAATCACTTAATTGTACGCATGAAATTTCTAAATATATTCAAAAAATAAATGATAATAGCCCATTAATTAAAACAAAGTCAAATCTTAAATATTTCACTATTCTTCAAGAATTAGATGTTTAGAAATGTCATATTTAAATGACTTTGACTCCAAATCATTTCCAAAATTAGCTTCAATTGAACAAGATTCCACTCGAATAGTTGGTTTATGTGAATCGAAATTGCCATTTATTATAAGTTTTGCTTAAAAATGATATTTGTAAAAAATTATTTTCAATTATTGACCAATTTCTTTTCCATTTTTTGTATATAAAACATAGGGGAATTCATTTACTTTATTAGTTGGAGAATAAACTAATCCACCGCCATAAGTACCATTATTATTAAAATCTTATGCTTGTGTATCAATAAATTTCGGGAAATAAAATAAAACAACCACGAAAAATTAAAATATTATTTATTTAATGTAAAAATTAAAAATTTTAAATGAAAAAGTCAGATATTTCAAGCAATTCAATAACAATATTACGATCAACATCAACTATTTGTTCATCTTTAATGACGCGATTATTAAGTTGACGTGTTATTTTTTTGTCTGTATTTGAATAAAGCAAGACAATTATTGTTTAATAAAATGACAAAAATTCTTAATTATTTTAAAATTTAAAAAATATAACGGTGGATAAAAAGTCCGGAAAAGGAATGTTTTAGTAAGAAAAGGAAAGCTTTACTAAATATCTTAGTAAACATACAACTTATTTTTAATTTTGCTTGAAAAAACAGCTGATTAAAGTCTTATAAATAAGAGAATAATCCGAAAATAACAAACATAAATATTTTTAATTTCTAATCTTAAAACCCCGTCAAAATACTAAAATAAAAATGTATTCTTCAACTCTTTGCTTTTTATTCGTAGTTGCTTTAATTGCACAAATTGTGGATTTGGCACCTCCACCTGCTCCTGTTGTTGCTATTGATCAGGTATTTTATAATTAGATATGGGGCCATGCATTTACGGAAATAATATAAGCTACCTCTGGGCATTCACTCTAGGTACTTCACAAAATTACAAAAGTACTCTCCCTAAGTACCTCAGTAATTCCAGAAGATATGTGCAATATCTAATATCGATATCATAAATTTATTTATCTTAAGCCAAAACAATTTCGTGTTAAAAGAGCAAGATGCTACAATTACAACATTCGAACGCAAAAATGTAAAAATCCACGTTGCCCAAGATGTCCAGCTTCTTCTTCAATGTCATCAAAAAATCCAAACATTGCTACTTGTTGTTATTAGGAAGGATTTTCTAATTTTTGTAAAATAATAAAAAGTTCTAACTATAAGATAAGCACAATAATCAGCTAATGTTAAACAAAATATGAATTTTTAATTAAATAAAAAGTGTATCTTTTAGCAAACTTATTGCAACAGTTTTATGGAAATTTTAAATGTCCGAGCTTTAATGTAGAAAACTAGATTCTTAGACAAACTAAAAGTTGTTCCAAGGCAATACTTTTGTATTAGATTCATCTCTCAGATTTACTGAACTATAAACCCTATATAGATAATATAAATTTATCTTATAAAAAAGCTTAAGTGCCGCAGGCAAAAATTTTGCGAATTTAGAAGGCCAAGAAGCCAAATTTCTTAAATTTTAAAATAAAATATGGAATCGAAAAAAGTTCAACTCTTACTGGTGGAAATTTTTAAATGCTCAAAGAAGTCGAGAACAAGACAATAACTACACCACAAGACCAAGACCGAAAAAAAACTCAAGCAAGTATTGAGTCCAGGCTAAAAAACCAAGAGTCATGGACATATCTAATTGAGAGGTTCTAAATATTCAGCAAGCTGGATCTTGATCCAGCTTGTTTCTTTTTCGGCGCCGCAGGCGAAAATTGTGAGAATTTAGGGAGGTTGTAGGTTTTCAATTATTACTAAGTTTCAAATTAAGTTACACCCTTTTCAAAATTAAGTTACACCTCGCATGATAGCCTGACATGCAATTTTGCGGTGTAGTTCCCAACAGCCACGGTAATTCCAGCTCTGTAGTGTCTTCTCTCACAATGTATTTCCCAAAGTAAAATATTTTTAAAGATAGTGTAGAAAAAATGGTGAGTAATTATTAGAAGGATGATTATTTCAACATTTACGGTATTAAATATTTTATGTAGTACGATGATAGTACAATAATGAAAAATAATTTTTATAAAATACACTTATTTGAAGTATTTATTTTTTAAATATCTCTTTATCATAAAGTATTTTTTTGTTTTAAATTAGTAAATTAATAATTTTTCTTTAAAATCTCAAATTAAACGTCTAGATTAAATTTTAAAAAATTAGCTGGATGGAAAAAATAATTAAAGGATTCCAGCAAATTATTCCAACAGCTTAATGTATGTATTTACTATCCAAGCATACTATCCATAGT